AGCAACTTTTTTTTTAATAGATAAATTTTCCTTCCATTTATCCAACTGTTATTTGCCACAAAATAAGCACTAAAAAAAAAAAATCTGTGAGAAGCTTGCTCTTACCTACAAATTCCTTTTGGGAAATAGAGTTGTTAAAAAGCCTCCCAACCCTCAAAGGTGTTTATGATAGGGAGCATTGGAGGACAGCATTTCAAGTCTGCCATGCTAATGAATGGGGATACAATTGTCTCCTGCAGAATATTTTAAAGGACAAGTGATGAAAGCTGGATTCTGTCTGTTCATTCCATGTATCATTCAGTGGAAAAATATTTAAATATTTTTTTTAAATTAACCTATACTCCTAAATGGCATGGAAGTCTGTCAAGGTCCGTCTGTACTTCAGTTGGCAGCAAGTGCTGTTCTCCCTGTCCAGCATCACTGGCACATATGGGAGTGACAGAGGCACATGGAAAGCCATTATTTTTGATAGCAACAGGGGACAATTTCAAGAGCTGAGATTCTATATTCTGTAGCAAACAAACAAACAAAAATTCAGGAAGTATCCAGATTCTTGGAATATGCATTTTCCCAGCAAGAATTTTTCTGAAAGTACCTGATATAATAGCTCACAGAAGAAATTATTTTCAACTCAGAATATCTGGGATGTAGTCTCATCTGTTTCCTGTTGAGTGAACCATATCAAAAAAGAGCCTCTATACCTCAGTTTCCTTACATCTACAGAAATAATAAATAGAAGGAGTGATCTCATTTATGCCTGGAAAGCATGCTGAGCTGATCTAGTGAAAGACACTGACAAAGTGTCATGCATTGTTATTGCATTAGGCTGACTGCACTTCTGAAACCCATCTGACATTTCCCATTTGGCTTTAATTGTGGACGGTAACATTTCTGTATTAAAGAGGATGCTTTATATCACTGTCTTATTTATATTACATGGTTCACGATTAAACATTTTCTAAAAAGGCAGTAACCTGTGAGATCCTCTCCCTTTCTCACTTCATTAAGCTACTGCATTACAAAGTGTTCTGCTTCATTGCAGATCCTGCCAAGCAGCTCTACTGTGCTCCTTGTAGCTACATGTGAAGTATCGAGGTGAAGTTCATAACTATATTTGGGTATCAGGGTTTATTTCTTCTACTCTGTTGAAGGGGAGCATGACGAGCAGTTGAGGAATGCTGGGGGAAACCGTCATTAGCGTGAGCAGCCTGTGCCAGGGCTCGGGCTGCCCCGCCGAATCGCGTTTGTGGTGTGAGCAGTTCAGTCACCCGGCTTTGGCATGGGGCTCGGACACACAAACACAGGAGGATCAGGTCTGCTCCGTTATCGTGCTCCTGACGCCGGTGCTCCGCTCGGCAGGGAGCAGCGGCTGTCCTTGTGCTGCCGGCTGTCACAGGTACCAGCGGCTGTCCCGGTACCAGCGGCTGTCCTCATGCTGCCGGCTGTCACAGGTACCAGCGGCTGTCCCGGTACCAGCGGCTGTCCTCATGCTGCCGGCTGTCACAGGTACCAGCGGCTGTCCCGGTACCAGCGGCTGTCCTTATGCTGCCGGCTGTCCCAGTTCCAGCGGCTGTCCCTGCGCTGCCGGCTGTCCGGCCTGGCTCGGGGGCGCTGTCCCCGCCGGCCGTGCCCTCCCGCAGGCAGGGAGGAAGGCTGGGCAGGAAATGAGCAAGGCCGCGGCCCGGCCCGGAGTGCGGCTGGAGCAGCGGAGCGGGGAGGAAGTGTTGCAACAACTGACACTCGTGTCTGTGTTTCTCTCTGAAACAGCCTCGTTGTAGAAACATCTAAGATAAGAGGATTTTGGGGAAGGATTGCTGCGCAATTAATGCAAGATGTCGTGACCTATGGCTAGTTCTGAGAAGAGGGAGAGCGTGCACAGCTGCTCCTTAGAGCTGCTCTGCACCCAGTGGAAGGGGAGCACTCCTAAAAAAGAGATTTTCATGAAGTTACTGATTTTGATCTGTTCTGAGTTTTCTCCCCATGATAACTAAGTATTGTGAACGATGAAGCACATTAGAGCTTTATATTTTCCCAAGGATTAAAAGATAAAACTTATGAGGTCATTGATACATTGAACTGTGAAGGGTTCTCGTTACTTTTACATGAGAGAATTTAGTGTAAAAAGATTATAGTGGCATGTGTACATTCTTATAATTTCACGTGTCTATCTTCATGCTTTTCATTTTTTACAAGACTCCTGACCATTTGGGTCCCCAGAAGAATGAGATGAATGAGAAAGGCATCCTATAGGGAAGGGGGTGGAAACAGAAGCAAGTGGTATTTCCTACAGAAAGAGAGGGGGGAAAGTGTGGCATTCCACTGCCAACTGTGTGTTGGTTTGCTGTATTGTCTCCATCAATAAATCTCTGCCTTCTTGGTTTTTTTCATAATACATCTGAAGTAAGAAAAACTCCTCTTTCAACACAGGCTCCACCCAGTACTGTTTTTGTATCATTGCATGACTATTAAATGCTGACCATCAGCAACATTTTGATATGATGTGAATAATCTGCCTTTGCTTAAAAAATGCTGTTTCCATTCTTTATGCTTATCACTTTTAAATTAATGAAAAAAGGGGTGGATGGATCAGTGAAGTCCATTCTTTGAATACTAGACGCTTGCAAAACAGCTGCTATATTGAAATGTCCTTGTCTGCTTAGCAGGAGGATAGTTCAAATTGTAGTCAGAATTAGGACTGATACACCCAATTATGTGAGGGTGTGACAAATGAAAAAGGAAATGCCTGGTATTTTTATTTGTAATATGAAACTAACCTATAATAATACTAGTGGTAATAAATTTTGTATGTTCCAGTGGATCACTTTCATTGGAATACAGAAAATAGTTCTGCTTGTGTTAATAGAAAGTATTTTTGAAACATTACTTTAAAAATATGACTGAAGTTGAAATACTAGTAGTAGGGAATATATGATGCTATGGGTGTGGTATGTGTCTTTTATCATCATGGTTTCATATTATTTTAAGTACGCGTTCATACAATCTTTATGGAGACCCCACATTCACTCCATGTGATTATACAGCTGAAGAAGCACTTTCTTAGCTACAGTTTGCTTTTAAAAAAAGCAACATTTTAATGGAGTCTTTTATGTTACTCAGCTATAATAGGGAAAAAGAATATCAATCAGTGAAAACACTGATTTCAGTGAGTGAAAACACAAGAGATTCAAGTCGACTTCTGGGTGTAACAAGGAGAGTAAGGGTCCCATTTAATAGCAGCATTCTCTGACTATAGAGAGCTGAATCTGCATACACAGGTTAATTCTGTAAAGTTATTTAAAGTTCTAAAGCTGTCAAGAAAGCTATGACAAATTAAGTGGTGATCCACCTGCAAGAATATGAGAAGAAATAGAGTAGACCAAACAAGTTCTATTTTTCTCTCTTTTAAGAAAGAGGGAGAAAATCTGTGGCTAAGGTACTCAGGTAGCAAAGGAGTCCTTAGCAGGTGAGCATAGACTAAGTGGTGATACTTTTGTGGGGTGGAAAGCAGATAATGGTTCCCTGGGTTAGGCTCTGGACTTGGAATTACATCTGTTTTCCCACCCTGGCTCTGCCACAGATTTCCGTGATGAAATAAGCAAGTTGTTAATGGCTTTGGCCTCTGTGTTTCTCTTCACAAAATGGAATTCTGACCCCTTCCTCTCCCAAGGGTCTATGAGGTTAAATTAAAGGATGTTTATAAAGTAAGCTTATGTTTTATTTTTTTATTACAAATATGCAGTTCCAACATTTTCAAACAATATTCTCAGCAGAGGATTCTTGGTTATTATATTTACTCACATGGTGGTGCTGTCATACATATGTGCTGTCTCTTAGTGGTCATCCCACAGCACTGGGAGGTCTGGGAGGTTCTGTAGAAGTCCTGTTTTCTGGAGTGAGGAAAGAGGTCACAGACACCCTGCAAAAGGGAGGCAGGGCTGGCTGCCAAAGGCCACAGATACCCTCTTGTTGTGTGACACCCCCACCACTGCCAACCTCCACTTCTGTGAGCTGCCTCTGCATCCTGGGACACCCCAGTAAGGTGTGAGAAGCTCTTGGAGTGTACTCCTCCTTCAATGTAGGGGAACGTGTCCTTCTTTTCCCACCCTAGGTAAACCTGGTTCTGCTTGTGTGTGTGCTGTAGGTGTTACCAAATGCTCTGTAACACACCTTATGAAATGCCTTCAACATCTCTCTTCATGCCCCTCTCCTCTCTTATTTTGAAGGACGTAATTCAGGTAGTTCTTTTCAACCTTTTGTTTACAAGTGCCATTTTTGTGCTGTTGCAGCACCATTTGGTGCTGCTCACTGTTCCTCCCTCCTCTTTAGGCAAAGGGCACAGCATATTTCCAGAATGTATGTACTATAATTCCAGTAGTAAGACTACTGTGCAACTGGTGCTCTCAGTCTCCTCTGTGCACATTAGAGTACTTTGAACTGTAGGCAAGGGGCAAATGGTCGACCTGTCCTTGGGCAGTGGGACACAGTGATTACTGCATAAAGTGGTACAGAGGCATCACCAGGTGCAAGAACACCAGCAACACCCCAATTAATCTTTACTCAAACACAGGCACGTGTCTCTTCTATCACTTTCTCTTAGGCAGCCCCAGAGCATGAATGCTGTTGGCAGGGCATGTGTGGAGGTAGAAATGTGGTGGGAGGTGGAATTTTGGTAGATGTGATTGATTTACAACAGGAGTTTCCTTTACAGTCATAAGGGGAATTTTGCTTGGTCACAGCAAGTTTGAACCCTCATGAAACAGCCTGAATCATTTGAAGCTAAAATAAAACAGAGGATGGCAGGGGGAGGGGCATGACCGTTAGGGAGAAAAAAAAAAAGTCAAAAAGCACATTAAAATTGTTTCCCTTGGTGCTGACTTCTTAAATGGGAATGTGTTCCAGAATAGTTCTGCTATGTAAGCCAACATTTGTTTTAAGATTTTTTTATTGTCTTTTTTCCTCTCTTCCCCTTCTTCCCCTTGCCCTCCCTCTCTGTTCTGCAGATTTACACTGACTGGGCTAACCACTACCTAGCAAAATCTGGCCACAAGCGGTTGATCAAGGATTTGCAACAGGACATTGCAGATGGAGTTCTGCTAGCAGAAATCATCCAGATCATCGGTAAGACCAGGGCTGAGGGAAGTGCTGCGAGCTGACTCCTTGCGTGGGGGAATATATAATTTAGGTTGAATGTATTTAACAATAAGATGAACTTGGAATAATACAGTTTGACTGGATCCATATGTCTCTGATATTTGTGTGGTTCATCCTTGTCTTAATTAAAAAATATGTTTATGTGAGCATGTTTGGAAGTTGCTGTTTAACCATACTTTAAATGGCCAGAACTGTATCTTACACACTTTGAATTGTCAGAAATGAATGCTCCGTTAAACCATATGTCTCCCATGTGTGCATTTTGTTAGTTGGAGTGGCTCATACTTTCTGGGATGCCTTGAAACTGTATCCTGACCCTGCAAAGACAATTGTGGAAGATTTCATGTCAGCAGTTATTTTGCAGGGGCTGAAGAATTAGCAGTGACCTCCTTCGCACTTCCCCCTTTGCATGATTTGGCATATGGAAGCAACTGCTGCTAACAAGAGTGTTGTTACTGTACGACTGATCTTTACTTAGAAAAGAACTCTCTGTCAACAAAACCCTCTGCATTTTATTGCTGTGCCTTTTCTGCTTTTCTTCAGGTTTTTTTTTTTTTTTTTTTTTGTTTTTTAGTTTTTTGGGTTTGAGTTTTTTTTTTTCCTTTATTTTTTGAGCAGGGGTTGGAAAGGAAAGTTTTATCTCATTGTTTACTTTTGCTTTTCCCCTCACTGTTTTTGTTTAGCAAATGAAAAGGTTGAAGATATCAATGGCTGTCCACGGAGCCAGTCTCAAATGGTAAGAATAAAATATATTTTTAGTTTATGTTGGTACCACTCCACCTTCCTAAAATGCTTTTTAATAAGGATTTATATAAAATAGGAATATTCTGTCCCATTTTTACCATAAAGTCCTAATTCTTATACAGGTTCCTGATACTCATTTTCCTCACATGCTTAATGTTTTTAACTTTGTTCCTGTGCTAGCTTTGGATCTTGAGATAACCTGGCAGCAAAACTTCATCACTTCTAATTAATCCAGAATTACCTTATCAGACCTGCTCTTCTGTAGATCCAAATAATTTCATTTAGCATCATTTTAAGGGCAGTGAATCCAAGAGTAAATTATTAAGTGGAGTCTTTGTGTCTGGAAAACTGGTTTGATAAACAACACTTGCCAAATTATTTTTTAAATATAAATAGCCTTTTGGATTGTCCACTGTGCAGTCCAGTGTGATGAACTGACTCCAAGGCTTTCAGAAATAGCACTTTAGTCATATAGCTCTCTGAGCTATAGCTGGCAGCTGTCTAAAGACTTCTTAATACTCTCAGACAAGAAGCATTTAGTGGCTGTGATTCATATGGAGTCCTATTAATCTTTTACTATGTTTATGGTTAGTCAACTACATTTAATAAGATGAAACTTCCTTAGAATACTGTGAAAGTGACAGACACAAAATCTGAGCCTCAGTAAAATCACCATGCATTTATTGAATCATTTGCAATCCAAGTCATGCTCTCCCATGCTGAGGTCTTTGCCTTTCTGTTCACATTCAAATAATATATAAATAAGGTGCATAATTGTGTAGCTGGCAAGGATTCTGGAGCACAGTGATTTGGTTGAACTTGCATAATAGTAAACTGCTGAAACTGGGTTTAAAAATGGACATGAAATAGAAAGCAAAGTGCATTTTTTCAGTGCATTTTTAGAGGTGGAAGGTGTTTGCAGCTTTTTTCTGCAAAGTGTTAAAAGGGAAGGGGAAAATTTTTGACTACTAGTGAAGTGAATAATGGGGTCTTTTGGTTCCTATTGTTCAAAACATGTGCAGGTTAGAATAAGTTTTTTTTTCTCTGGCTTTCAGACTTTTTGAAACAATCCATAAAAATAATACGCACATTTTCCTTAATTATAGTTATAATATTAATTACTCATATTACAGCAACACCTAGTGGCCTTGGCTGAGAACTTTGGGAACTCCAGCGTGGAACTCTAATATTACACACACAGATCAAGAGATAATTGCTCTCTACTTCAATCATGTTAAAGTTGCCATTCCAGACAGGCAAGAGAAACAAGGAGACACAAAAGCACAGGGAAGGAGTGTGATTCTCCAAGGTTATGTAAGTGGTCATCCAGGACTGCTTAGGAGTAGAGCCTCCATTCCATTGTCTACTGAGCTTCATTTCCATGACCGAAAGAAGAGCTGCAGAGAAAACTATCCACTCTAGCAATGTTTGCATCTCTGAAACAACACTGGTGTATGTTCCTTGTTGCATTTTTTTATTTTTATTTCATCTCTAGCTCCATGCACCTATGGAGGAAACATGGTCAGTGCATGCCCATGCTGCAGTGGTACTTGTGGGTCTCCTTGTGTCCATCTTTCTCCTCCCACAAGCCAATGTCACAGCTCAGCCTGGCCAAAGAGTATGTCCCAGGTGCTCTGAGTGTCAAACCAGGTGCTTTGAAAGCTGCAGTGCATAGCCATACATCAGTGTTTGCACAGTGACTGAAGTGTCACATTTAGCCACTTTAACTTCATAGTAGTATATTTGTTTATCCATCCTTTCACACAGTCTCTTTACTGAATTGTTTTATCTCTACAGACTGATCAAATTATTCTCCTGCCTTTTCACATACCAGTTCTATGCTGCTGATTTCTTAGAACTAAGTTAGGAAATTTAAAATGTACTGAAGTTAAAGTCATTCAAACTTGTCAGTTTTTCTCTCAGAGACCCAAGTTTTGAGCCTACTCTCCATTTGTTTCCTTTGGGCTCTGCCCTGGTGTAACTTAGCCAAAGGCACAATTTTTACCATATTTTCAGGTAATTTTCCTTGGCAGTGCTCAATTTTGTAGCCTGCTCAGTTAATTGAAAGGAAGTTCTCTTCTTCTTATAGCAGTGGACTCTTGAGGTGTTTGTGATATGCAGGGGACAAAAATATAACAGTAGTCAAAGCTAGTTTGCATGTTGTATGTTTGTCATACACCATTATGTAGCAATATATCCTGTTAGAACATCAGCCATCAAACCAGCAACAGTCAAAATACTCAAATAACATTTGTTAGACATTTATTCACTGCTTTAATTTAAAAATTTTTAGTTAATAAACCTCAAGAATCCCACTACCCTCTTCTTGAACATATGTTTTCATAATCCTTCCTCTCATAACTTACAATTAAGGGGAAATGTTTTCTCTATTCATCTGCCATTTGATACCCTTTCCAGGAGGCCTTTGATACCCATTTTCAGGAGGTCTAAGATATTTTATTATTAGCTTTTAAAAAGCTAGGGAGCACTGACATGGATTGTCTGCTGTTGGAAATTCTTGATACTCTTTGTTGATGATATTGATACCAGTTCATAATTCATCACTACCAATATTCCCAAATTCTTTTCCATTCATAATTTGGTTTTCCTCTTGCCAATGGAATCATCTTTCAATTGAGGCATTTCAATTCAGCTGTTACTGAATTTAAATTGTAAACATATTTTAATGTTTATTTTAAATGTATAAAATACTTGGGGTTTAGTTTATCTTTACTTAGTTCTATTGCAATGTTTTGCACCCTATGCTCATTTTGGCTCTGATGTATAAATACTTGCAGACAAGTTGAATTGGCTCCATAGGTCCAATTCATAAAAACTAAAAACCTGTGAGGCCCAGCAGTACCCAGTTTCTGCATCATTAGCTTTAACAGGATTCATTATGTTCACCCATTTGATGTTGCACACAGAACCTGAATATCTGAGATGTACTGGGGGATAAATTATTTCATATTCAAATCTCAGAAGCTTTAAATAAATGAAACTAATAAAAAAATCAGGGAGGTTTGCTTGTTTGCTGCGTCAGTCTACTGTGGTGAAAATATTTTAGTATTTCCTATTAATTGTTTTCATAAATATAATAAGGATTTAAACCTCTGTGTATTACAGCATATGTTGTCTATCTGGAGTGTCATGTAGAGTCTTGCCTATATTTTTCTTACAGCTATGCTTCCAAGGAACAATATAGAGCTTCTATATTTTCATCATCTCTTTGAATCCCTTCAATGGAAAATAATGCCACATGAATTTTTATCTTTTCCTTTTATTAATTATTTCATAAGTCTATAAATTAAGGACATTTCGTATCATCTTTATTTAGAAAATAATGGGATTTCAAGGGTTTACCTTTTGATAAAATTTAAAGCTAATTCCTTTCTGCTTCTTTATAACCCATTTGTTTCTTTAATTTCTGTTTTAAGTTCTGCCATCATTAGAAAATGCAAGATAGCCTTCTGGGTAGAAAATACGTTATAAAGCTTTTACCTGATTGTTCAAAGAGAAAGCATTCAGTTTGGTTTTTTTTTCCTTCCTGAACAGAAGATAAATATAATGGAAAATCTCCAGTGTTTTGGCTTTTAATACATCACATCAAACATACAGTAAGCACACAAAACATACCAATTCAATCCATCATGGGGTAGTTAGAAAAAATGCAAGAAAATTTTCAGTTTTGTCCCTAGTGACTTTTTAAAAACTTGTATTTCTATTCTTTCCTCATGTAGTTCATAGTGCTGTCAGCAGCATAAATCATAAAATAAATTCAAAGCTGACAAAAATTTTTAGTTTATTGCACTTAAAGTTGATTTTTCCTTCAGAGATCAATGCCTGAATAGGTGTTTTTTAGAATTTGCTCTTACTCATTTCCACAAGAAATGTCTCTGCCAATACCCATCTAGCTACAAAAGCATCCTTAATTTTTGTTGCTAGCAGGAGTTTTTTCATAGTTATGATAGTGCTGGAGAGACCTGTCTTACTAAAGAGTTTCCTAGTGTTGTTGTATATACTTCATGAAGACTAATTTTTATTCTGTCAGTCTGGTCTTTGGCACACTTTTCTACCAGTTTATACAACCAAAGGTATGCACCAAAAGTAATTTTATGATTTAGAATACAAATGTACTGCAGTCCCACAGAGAAAGTTGAGTTCACTAAAAATACATGTCTTGTTCATCCTGGAAATCATGGAGTGGAGAAAAGGTGTTGGAGCTGTAGAACATTGCCAAATTGATAAGAATCTTTAGTAAAAAGCTTTAGCTATCAGAGCTAGCACAAATTTTGGGTGAGCAGCAGTGAATCTGATAAAAGTAGGAATTGGTGTGACTATGTTTAGAACTAATAAGATCATTTCTACAACATAGTTCTTTATTTCATTAATAATGTATTTAAAAAGATACTAATAAAATTAAAATGTTTTGTAAAAAAGGCAGAAGAATGCCAAAAATGTTGCTCTATTTTATGAGACTGAAGAAAAGTTGTGTATGTTAAAGAGGAAGGTGGAGTAGGTGAATCAGTCTCTGCTTAACCAGGGAGCTTTTTCTGTGAGAGAAAAAGAAGTGTGTCAAGGCTAAAGACAGACCAAGTTACCCTGTATATACTGATAGACATTGCTTTGTAATTTATTGTGCTAGATGTGCTCCGCAGTGTTCCTGTAGTCCCGCAGAAGCCCATGGTGGCTCCATCTCTGCTTATATGCTTATAGGACAAGGTTGCAAGAGGATGGGGTGCATGCAGGTCTCTTCTTAACAGGGAGCCAGCTTGTGGACAGGATAAATGGGTGGTAACTGCAACTGCTAAATGTGCCATGTGTCCTTCAGACTTCCTCTGACACGGATGTGCTGGGCAGACACTGTGGAGTAGCACCCATCCATGTCCAGCAATGTCAATATCCAAGGATGAGAACATCAGCATGATACTCTGTGTCTAAAAATTGTTTGTGAAAAACAGGATAATTGTGTATAAAGTAAGAATTGAGGGT